AACATTTATATTAGAATTTTTAATGCTGATGGTACTGAAAGGCTTCCTAATGAAGCAGGAAGTGGTACCAATGTATAAGTTTTTAAATATTTATATAATTTTATGTTTGTAATAAATCTGATTTTATATCAGAAATAATAAAATATATATCAGATATTATAATATTTTGTTCATGAATAAGATTATTGGTATAACATTATAATATGTTGTTCAGTGTTCATTATGTTCAGGAATTAGATTATTTTTTTCATTTATTAGATTTGTTTTGTCAGGAATTAAATTATGTGTGTCAGGTATTAAATTTTTTTGATTACATAGGATTTAGATTGTTTCAGGAATAAAAATGTTTCAATCAGAAATTAGTTATTATAAATTAGAAAGGATCAGGAATAAGATAAAGTTTGTCAGCTTTAAGATTTCTTTACTCAGGAATTAAAATATGTATGTCAGGTATTTTAAATTTTATTCAGGAATTAAATTGTATGCTTCAGGAATAAACTTGTTTCAATCAGGAATAATATTATCTTTTTCATGTATTATATTTTTCACATCAGACATTAAGTTTTCATCTATGTCAGCAAATTATTTATGACAGTAATTAAAATGTTTATCTCAGGAATAAAGATATTTTTTTATACTAAATAAACAAGTAATAAATTTTAAAATAACAAAGTATGTACATACCTGATTCACTGCCATCCCAAATGTTTGATTTAGCAAGCTTGTTCCAACGTTTCAGAATGTATCTCTCTGGAATAGCATGTATGCTGTACATTTGCATTATCTTGATAATGTGAAAGCACAACAATCCAGTCTCTATGAAGCACATACAAGAACACTTAAACTCATTGTTTTGAGTGTAATATATGACTTGATAGGTGTTCATATAATCTTCATCAAGAGAAACATCAAAGAATTTGACATATTGCATTGAAGTGGCTTTTTCTCTTGCATATGCTCTGAGACTTGTTTCAAATTCCAGCCTAAAATCCTTGTATAAGTTTAGAGTATAAACTTCAGTTGCATGTTTTAATATCTTTGTTGTTGTTCTTGGTCTCTCAGTAGTACATCTGAAGTTGTCACTCTTTTCAGTGCTTCTCCATCTTTTCATAGTAGCCTCAAAAATGTGAAAGAACTCCAAAAGCTTTGTGGTTTTGTTGGCCTTAAATGAAATTGCTCTGTTTGTTACTTCTACCCTTTATGATGAAAGAATTCCAGCTGAGAAAATATCCTTGCTCAATGATGTGCACCATTTATCTCGTAGACCGTATAACCTATCAAACCATTCTTTTTTCTCTAGCACATGTTTTTGAACCATCTTGTGCCAACAATCTTCAAAGTCAGATTTAGAATCACATCCACTTAAGCATTTGTGAAACATATTTTTGAATTCAGGATTGGTTTTTAGAGTTCCGAAGTGTGACACAAAATTCTTTTGCAAATGCCATAGACATAGCCTATGTCTTGGGTTTGGATAAACCTGCAACAAAAATTAAATTACTGTAGTCAGCAATATGACTATTATAATCAGAAATTAAAAACATTTAGTCAGGAATTACATAAATTATGTAAGACATTTGTATATTTTTCTCAGGCATAACAATATTAGAGTTAGAAATTAGCATATTTTAGTCAGATAATAGAAAATTTAAATCAGGTATAAATATCTTTAGGTCAGTAATTAAATATTTTTAGACTTTTTATTTAAACTTAGAATCAATATTTTTAAAATCAACATATTTTTCAGATTATCAGTCAAATTAATCTTCCACTGTAATTCTGCCATTTGGGTCCCAATAAACGGCTAAAAAACAGTAACTTTTTTCCTTTTATAAATCATTTCCTTTATAATTCAACTTTGCATCTTAACTTCAATTTCTTTATATATTACGTTTTATAAATTGTAACTGTACAAGCAACAAAGGAAAACTTATTCTTGAGTTTTATAAATCACTCATTACGTTTCAGATGACCCTGGTTTTTTGGCTGACTGTATCATTGAGTACAGGATGAAGCAAAATGGGACTTGGCCACCCCCTGGTTATCCTCATTATGGTGCCCAACCACCACAGTGAACAGGTCTGTATGCCTAAAATGTGAATAACTTATGTTTGTTGAAATATTGTTGCATAAACTAACATCTATTATATGTTATTGTAGGTTACAAGGTGTCTTAGAATAAGTCATCACCCACGAACAAGAAGAAATGCGTATCAGGAATATAATTATTTTAAGGGTATTTTCATTTTTACCACCTTCAAATAATGACTTTGTCGAATTTACCACCTCAAAAAAAAAAAAGATTTACTTTACCACCTCATAAAAAAATAAAACATCAGTTTTACCACCAATCACCTCCAACTAACGGATTCCGTCCATAAATCCGTTAGTGGGGCCTACCTTGCACACGTGTCGCCATATTATTGGGTAAGTTTTAAAAAAAAATTAAAAAAATCCCCATTAATCAACCGGTGTTGCTGCCACCGTCAGGACCCCCACCGCCGACCAGCCACGACCAGCCCCCACCACCTAACCGCTACGACCAGCCCCCACCACCTAACCGCTACGACCAGCCCCACCACCGCACCGCGCAGCCACAACCACCTTTCCTCCAATTTTTATTTATTTTTTTGCTCTGTTTTCTCGAAAGCCACAACAATGGCGTCTCTTCCAATGGAGTTAATCACCTCCATTCTTTTCGATTACCCACTAAATCACTACTTCGCTTCAAATGCGTTTCCAAGGCTTGGCATTCCTTAATCAATCAACAACACCCATTTAATCAGACTTCATCTCGCTCATTCTCTCTCCTCTGACCGTCGTCTTCTTATCCTCAACCATGGAAGTCACCTGGAATCGACTCCATTGAAGTGGGGTTCTGAGCTTGATGCTAAAAACGATTGACAAGGTTTGATTTACCCAATTCTTTTTCTGGTTTTGAGGTTTCGATTTGTGGGTATTGTAATGGATTAATTGCTTTGGTTTGTAGAAATGTTGATGATAATCGATTTGTATCCTTGTTGTTAGTGATTTGGCTTCTTAGTTTTTGGCAGCCACCAAATCCCGACCACCCATAAATCCCCTTCTAATTCCGACCACTCTAAAAACCCTAGCCACCACCAAATTTTGCACTCCTAAAACCCTAACCACCACCTAATTCCGACCACCTCCCTAACCCACACACCAAATTCCGGCCCCTCCTTAGTCACACACGAAATTCCGACCAACCGAGGTAGTTGATTTCGTTGCTGGTTGGTTTACACGGAAGATCGGGGAAGATGAAGAAGAAACGTCAAAAAGGTGGGCCCTACTAACGGATTCGTGGACGGAATCCGTTAGTTGGTGGTAAAATCGATTTTTTGGAAATTTTGTTGGTGGTAAAGTAAATCTTTTTTTTTGGAGGTGGTAAATTCAATTAAGTGGTTATTTGAAGGTGGTAAAAGTGAAAATACCCTTATTTTAATCAGGAATTAGCATATTTTGGTCAGGAATTAGTATATTTTGGTCTGATTTTAGATGAATTATGAAAGGTATTAGTATATTTTGGTCAGGAATTAATAGTCTTAGTGTTCACTTGGAGTTTTGGATAAGGACTAAAAAAATGTAATAATCAGAATTGTACTTGAGGTACTGGATAAGGACCAAAACAATGTAATATTAATAAAAAGGAATATATTTAAAAATTATCTTTTTTTTTTAATATTTTTTATTTGTCTATAAAAGTATTATTTACTCATACATTTTGCATGTTTTTGTACTTTGGTATATTCTCTCTCCTAAAACAAACTTTTTTTCAATATTCCTCAAAAATGCAAAACAATTCTCAGTCTTCTACTTCATCAAACGATCCTCAATATTTCTCAAATATGCAAAACAATTCCCAGTCTTCTACCTCATCAAACGATCCAGAAGAAAATGCAATTGATAACTTTGAAAAAAAATTAAATGATATGTTGGATAGAAGAGATAGAGTGAAGAATGGATTGATGAAGCTCTATGAAAAAGTTGAAAAGAATGAAATCGAACAACTAATCAAGAGAAAGAGAGCACAAGAGATATGGCAGGAAACACAGAACAAAAAGCAGAAAGAAGAAGATCTAACACAAGAAGGAAGAGAAAGAACAAAAAGAAGATCAAAAGAAAAAACAAGTTTAATATCTGAGGAAGAACAACAAGAAGATTATGATTTTAGGGTTTTTTTCTTTATCTTTTTTTTTCTGTTAATTTCTAGTCACAATCAATATCATTAAAATATATGGAAAATATGATATGCTTTTATGTTTATGTTTCTGTATTTCCTGTTTTTATTATCAAAAGATTTATTCAGATTTGGTTTAAAATGATATGGTTTTGTTGGTTTTTATTCATATATTGATTTTTTTTTTTAGTATTAATAATTTTTCGTCAGGAATTATATTATTTTAGTCAGGAATTTCATTAATTTGTTATATATTCCATATATCACAATCAGAAATAAGAATATTTTACTCAATAATTATAACATTTTGCTCAGAAATAAACTTGAAATGAAATTAAATAAATTTGAATTAGTAATGACTTAATTTCGATCAGGTATTAGAAAACTTATATCAGGATTAAGGATCTTGCTATCATGAATAAGATTCTGTCAATCAATATTAAATAATTTGAACTTATTAATATATCTTAGTCAGGTATTGCCTTTATTTTATCAGAATTAATATATTTTTGATCAGGAATTATATTACATTAAATTATGAACATGAAACATATATTATTAGCCAAGAATTAAACAAATATTTATCAGGAATTATATAATTTCTGTCAGGTATTGATATGTTTTTATCAGTTATTAAGTTATTCTAATCCAGAAACAATATATTATGAAGACAAAAATTCTTACCTCTGGTATGGCGTTACTCATTGCAAGATCCTGATCAGTGAAGTTTGATTTTGGTTCGATTCCACACATCGACTTTTTGAAAAATTTAAGAAGCCAAACAAATGTGTCAGTCTTTTCGTCACTTATGAATGCACATCCAAACATTGTTGTTCTCCAGTGACAGTTTATACCAACAAATGGTGCACATATCAACCCATTTGTTTGTTCTGTATGTTGTATCGAAGATTAAAACATCACCATAGGCTTTGAAATCTTCAAGCATTTGAGAATCACGCCAAAAATAGTTCACCACATTGTTTTCTTCTCCAAATTTCAGTCTATAAAAGAATGAAGGATCATTATCTCCTCTCTCTTGAAGGGTATTTAATACATTCTGCATGTCTCCACCTTCAACCATACTCATTTTCACCCTTGATACATAGTTAAGGTGGTCTCTCTTAGTATGACCTACACATTCTTTTCCTCCAGCTTCATTGGTGATATAATTGTAAGCATCCATTGGTTTGATACCACTTTCAACCATGCTTTCAATTAGTTCACCCATTGGTGCTGATATTTGCCTTTCTGATCTTAGATGATGACGTTGAACTGCTATAACCAATTCATGATTATGCTCCAACTCATGTGTAACAGCTTCGAAACTTCCTTCTTTGGTTTTCTTGAAACGAATATGAGCTTTGCATCCAGTTCTTGTCTCATTTACCTCCCTATCTTTTCTCTTTTTTTCATCAATTTTACCCAACATGGGTATTTCCACTGAATTTTGTTCACCTGCCATCTTCATTTTACCCTTTGTATGCCCTTCTTTAGAACATATAAAATAAAACTCATCCAATTTATCATTATTATCTCTTCTCTTTGTTGATTTTCTGACACTGAAACCAACAGACCTTGAATGAGCTTTGTATAAAACAAATCCCTCATTGTAGTCTGATACAGTATAACCTGCTAGACATTTAGTTATGTTTTCATCCTTGTCATATTTGTATTAATCTGCAAGAAAAGTATATATGAAACATATCATAATTTATTTTTGTCAGGAAATAAAATATTATACACAGTAAATAAATATTCTTTAAATTTATGATACTTAAGAATTATCATGTCTTAGTCAGGAATTACATTATTTAAATCAGGAATTACTAAATACTAGTCAGGAAATAAATAATCTCAGTCAGGTTTAGGTTTATGATTAATCAGGAAATAGATATTATCAGTCAGAAATAATAATATTTGTATCTGATTATAATATGTTGTTGATTATTTTTTCAGGAATTAGATTATTTATGTCACTTATTAGTTTTGTTTTGTCAGGAATTAAATTTTGTATGTGAATTAATTTGAATATATCAGGAATTAGATTGTATATTTCAGGAATAAAATTGTTTCAATCAGAAATTAAATTGAAACAATTTTATTAATTTAATTTCAGTAACAAAAAATAGTCAAAATATCAAAAAATTGTTCGAATCAGAAATTAGATTATTATAGTCAGGAATAAAGTTATATTAGTCAAGAAAATACATAATAAATTACTCGGGACTTAAATGATAAATATACAAAAATTAGAATATATCAGGAATTAAAATGTAAATTTCAGGAATAAAATTGTTTCAATCAGAAATTAAATTGAAACAATTTTAATAATCTAATTTCAGTAACAAAAAATAGTCAAAATATTGTTCGAATCAGAAATTAGATTATAATAGTCAGGAATAAAGTTATATTAGTCAGGAAAATAGATAATAAATTACTCAGGACATAAATGATATGGTCAGGTTTAAGATAAATATAGTCAGGAAATTAGAATTTAATAACTCATGACCTTCCCTCTTCCCTTTTCAAAAAACACGTAAAATCATTTACCAGACATAAAATTAATTGAATAAAATAAAATGAATTTACTAGAAAAGAGGTTAATTATAAATGAAAAGACATATTTGAAAAGGCATGACCCTCCCTCTTCCAAAACACTGCATCTATTCACATTCTAAACATTATATATAAGTAACCATATTGTCAACAAACTGTATTCAGAAAAAGTAAAAAAAATCCATATAAACTGCTTCAGTTAGAAATTTTAATTAATCTTATAAGAATATAACTACTGCTAATACAAAAGGTATATTTTTTTCGTATTATGATTATACCTTTGTTAGTGTTGTTTTATTGAGTTTTGTTAAGATTTATGTTTTCATTTTGTTTTGTTTAGATGGCTAATCAAATCCCACACCCAATTGACGCCTTAAAAGATGCACATCCAGCAATGGTTGTTGAAGAAATATTATGCATGCATATTTTCCCTAGGTGCACATTCAAAGCCAAGGCGATGATTAACTGTACATGTAAATATTATAATGAATTATGGTATTATAAATATTGGATTCCAGAAACAGTAAGAAGAAATCATAATTCAAATGAATGGTGGGTTGCATATGACATTATGAGGCATAAGGGTTATGGGTTTCATAATGGCATGGTGCAAGACTGGGCTGAATTTCTGAATGGATTACGTTTAGTTTTTGCTGAAGAAGAAGCCAGCAAATTAAAGAGAAAAAGAGAAGAGGCAAATCATCCATGCAGAGAGGCAAAAAGAACTAAAATTGAGGAAGATTATCTTTGTAGCTTATTTTCAATGTTTTGTACTTTATCATAATTAAATAACATTTCAGTAATATGTAATTTGGAAATTTAGTTTATGTATTTTATTTTTGAAAATTTAGTTGATGTTATTTTATTTTTGGAAATTTGGTTGATGTTATTTTATTTTTGGAAATTTGGTTGATGTTATTTTATTTTTTGTTTTAGTTGATGATATCAGTAGCTTATACTCAGGAATTAGCATATCTTAAACAGGAATTATATTTTTTAGATCAGGTATTATGATATATTATTCAGAAATAAAATTAACCCAGTCAGGTTTAAGATAAAATTAGTCAGGAAACAGATGATAATAGTCAGGAGTTGTAATACCAATATAATTTGCAGTAATTAAATGTTTTGAAATTTATTATACCCAGGAATTACATTATGTTAGTCAGGAATTAGATAGTTCTTGTCAGAAAATAGATATGGATAGTCAGTTTAAAAATAATAATATTTAGATACATTATAACTCGTCAGGTTTAAGATAATATTAGTCAGAAAATAGATAATAATATTCAGGAATAATAATATCGATATTTAGATAGAGTAATTAAATGTTTTAAGATTTATAACACTCCGGAATTAGCATATATTAGTCAGGAATTAGACAATTATTGTCAGAAAATAGATATGGATAGTTAGTTTTAGGATAATAATATTCACATGTATTATAACTTAGTCAGGTTTAAGATAATATTAGTCCGAAAATAGATAATTATAGTCAGGAATTGTAATATTAATATTAAATACATTAATTATATGTTTTAAAATTTATAATACTCAGGAATTATCATACATTAGTCAGGAATAAAATAGTGTTGGTCAGAAAATAGATATTGATAGTCAGTTTTAGGTTAATAATATTCAGATATATGATAGTCAGGTTTAAAATAAAATTAGTCAGGAAATAAATTATCATAGTCAGGAATTGAAAAGAAAAGAAATAAAATTTTTCAGGAAATAAATAATGATCGTCAGATTTTAAATAATGATAGTCAGTTTTAAAATAATTATAGTCAGATTTAAAATAATAATAGTCAGGCAGGGATACTAGATTTTTAAATGCAGTTAGAAATATTTTGAAATTTTCAGGAATTAGATTATTTTAATAATTTTGTTTAGGAAATAGGTTCTATTAATCAGGAATTATATTATCTGCAATTACATCAATAAATTACAGAGTATACTTTTACAGTTAATTTAATTATCTGTATACCTATTATACTTGCAGCATCTTCATCTCTTTCTAGAATAACATTATCTGTTGCATTCATCATTAGTGTTAGTATATTTGAATTTCACTCTAAAATTATCAAAAAAATGGATTCAAATGAAAATTAATTTTCTGCGACAATTGTAGTTACATATTAAAATAGCTTTGCATGCAAATCATAAGTTGAAATTAAATTCGATCGAATACTATAGTAAACTTGATTTCAAAATGAATAGTTGAAATAAAATGTAATTGAAAATAAATTAGGCCTGGTTTCAAATTATAAGTCGAAATTAACTACGATCTGAAATTCAATTGGCATTAATTGCAAATAATAAGTAGAAATTAACTCGAATTTAAATACGATCTGATATTAAATTGAAATTTAATACGATCTGAAATTCAATTTGGCTTGCATGCGAATTATAAGTCGAAATTCATATTTCAAAATCGGTGTAATACAATCTGAAATCATGCGAATTATAAATCGAAATCAATATTATATGAAATTTGAAATTACATGCAATCAAAATTATGAATTAGATTGTACCTTTTTCAGAAGTAATTGAGCTGGAAATTGATTCTATAGGTGAATCGGAATCTCCTTCAATCATCATCCTATTGTTTGATTTCTCCATGTTTTTATGGAATTTGCAGATTTGAATTATATGAATTTTGCAGATTTGAATTTTATGAAATTTGGGGAAATGAAGTGGTTGAATTTCAGTGAATGACGGCGCTCGAAATTTTATGAAAATGATTAAAATGATGAAAACGACAAAATTAAGACAATTTATAAAATGGCGCGCGGGCTTTGGTCGGGTTGGTCAGGCCCGCGCCTTTTTAATTAATGAGCCCGGACTCACGTGAGTCTAGTCTCACGCAAAACGTTTCCTTCCTATTATAATATATCATTGGAAAGATAATTTCAAGATCTATCCAACCATATAATATTTGGATAAATATTATGAGGCACAAAATAATATCTTACGGTCTTTGAACATCTTTAACTTCGAATAGAATTAGGATTTAAGAAAAAGAAAGTTTTAAAAAAGGAAAGTTTTTATTTAACTCAAATTCTTTGTTCTTATCTTTTCAAAAAGGATAATTAAGATTTTTAGAAACTTATAGAAGCTTCTAATTAATCCTAATTAGTTTAGAAATAGAATTAGACGTTTGGACCCTCCACATGATCATTGGGCCGTAGGTAAGATCCGATTCGAGCCCAGTTTAGTATTTTGGCCATAACTTCCTCATTATTCATCGGAATTGGGCTTATAATATATCGTTGGAAAGGTCTTTTCAAGCCCCAACCAACTACACCATTATTGGACCCTTATCATGGACTAAAATAAACTGGAATGCACGTTTTTCAAAAATAGGGTAAGAAAAGAAATATTTTCAAAAACTGAAAGAAGAGATATTTTAATAAAAACATCCTCATCACTAGAATTTTTACACTTTCGCTTCATTCGATAATCAAATGACGTGAAAGGTAATCATCACTGGGTTTGGCTTTGGGGAGACACATTTGGGTGTCTACAGCGTGGAAAATTATTTCTAGCGCCAAACGACAGCTCTGTCGCCTGGCGACACGCGCAGCGTCTTGCGACAGATCTGTCGTCTGGCGACAGGCGCGTGTTTGGCTCTGCGGTCATGTTTTATTCTTTTCGAAACTCTGATTTGTTTTATATCATATCGGTTGATTTTCTCTACAAATAACCTCCTAAAACCTCCGTTTTCAATCATCAACTGTCATCAAGAATCTCTTGATTACTCTCTCTCTCTTTTTTCTAAATTAGCCTTTTGCACACAAAATTCCGCATTCACAAGATCTAGACACACCTAGCCGAATTCGAAGTTGCCTTCGCCTTAGACGTAAAAGGTTTTAATTTCTGAGGGTTTGGTCACAAATCTCT